AGGAGAGTATATATAACATTTGTCATTAGTTATAAAGTTATTAATTGTCAAAAAAAAAATTTAAAAAAAGATTTGAATAATAATCAAATATATTTTATAAAATTTCCCAAAAATCTTATTCTTGAGAGTTGGAATGCCAAATTTCCAGTAATAAATATTAATTTCTTCCATGATATATTTCATTATGTGCAAGTTTAATTTTGAGAACTAAAGGTTTTTTTTTAATTTTTATTTTATTTACAATTTTGGTAAATTAAGGATTACAAAATTCATATATTTTTCTCTCATTGACACGTGTTTTTGATTTAGAAATTTTAGCGTATATTCTATTTTTTAAAACAAAAAAATATGTGACTCTTATAATATTTGTAAGAATAAAAATATTTTTTTTTTACAGAAATGAATAATAAGAATGAAATAATTTGAAGGACTAAAAAATTATTTGTTTATTTTTACAGAAAGTTTCAAAAATTCAAAAACTTGAGTTTGAATATAAGCTAAAACGGCTGATATAAAATGTTTGAGTGATATTAATTTGGATCTCGAAAAAAAAAGTCTCATATTTAAATTTTATAGATATAAACATAATTGGAATGATAAATGTTACGTACTGATTAATATGATGTATGTTGTGAATTGTGGGTTGATTGTGTAGATGTGATGAATTTGTATGATGTTGTTGTGTTGTTGAGATGATGAATGTTGAGAATGTTTTAAACATTTAAGCATGGTGTTGTTGAACAATATAAGACTATAGGAAGGATTGTTTTCAAGTTGCATATCCTATTGTGTATATATTATGTTGTGGTGCTCTGAAAATCTAATTTTGTTGAAAATCCTTCTTAGAATTTTGACCATTAAAAAGAATAGTTGAGTCTCCTCTTGTCAAATCATACATATATAAATTGACTAATTGAGTAAAATATAAAGTCGGGAACTTAATTCCTAATTGATTATTGAAAGAGCATAATATTTGGAAGAAAGTTGGCGAGTTAATCCTATTAGTTAAGCTAACTAATGTTGTGGTAGATTATATATATAGTTTTTTGTTATCTTAATGTGATAAATATATGGGTTGAATAATTTTTTAAATAGATCATAATATATTATATTACAACAATTTATTAATTTATTTAAATTTATTAAAATTCACTTAAAAATTCACTTTATCCATTAGTATTTTTTTTTATGAACATTCAATCTATTCATAAAAGTAATATTTTAAAAATTAAATAATTTTTATTTCTAAAATATTTTTATTTTACTCTCTTTTCTTTATAACTCATTATATTCTAATTTTTAAAAACTTTGCAAGATTTTTTTTTATATCAAAATAGTCTTTTAAAATTTCAATATGATAAAATATTATATATTATAATTCAATAAATTTTGAAAAGGAAGTGAATGGTGTAACAATCCGATAGGTTACTACATTTTACAACTTAGCACAAAGTAGTGGATAACATAAATTTAACTACTTAAGATTATTATGCAAATAATTCATAAATATTCATGCAATAATATATATGTATAGAAACTACTATATACAAGTTGTATCATGCAAACATTTCCTGTCCATATATATATAGAATCGTCCAAAACTATAAACATAACTACGACTCAATGCCCATCTTAGTCTTTTGTAACAACATATAGTACAATAACTTTACAATTTAACAACCTTTTCAACATACAACATAGTATACAAGTCATTCTCATATCCAACTTGATATATAGACTACACAACTTATCAATCACTTAGTAACAAAACAACAAAACTACACATTAATAATACCACACAACAACACAATGCGTTATTGATGAAGATTTTCGCAAACCTATCACTTGGCAAGTGAACCAAGTTTCGAAGTAGTATTTAAAGGTCGTCCTCAGGGATTTGCGTGTTTAGTAATTCTCGCTCAAATGATTTAAAAGAGAATGAGTTTAAAAATTCAATTGAATGAAAACAGATTCAAACAACACAATAAAGTAAACGTAGTAAAGACAATGATTAAGAAACAATGATTGACTTAGATGCACTTGCTAACTCATAGATCTTCTTAAAATAAATGCAATTCTAATTTCATTATTTCCACGTTCATTAAATAATTCAACAAGATTCCTCAAGGTTGAATCCTAAAGTCATTAAGCTCAAAACATGATTCCTCAATGTTTTGAGTCTAACACTTCGCATTAAGAACAATAACTTGAACAATGTGACTAACCAAATCAAGTCTATTCCTAGAACAAGAGGTGATTAGGTGCAAGATTCAGTTCGGGTTTTCGAAAGCGTTTTCCAACTGGATTCAAAAGCCAAAAATCATACAACGGTTGATCAAGCCGATATAAGCGTTAAGCGAAGAATCATTACACAAATAATGAGATCAAAATGCATATATTTAAGAAGAAGAGGAGTTAGTAGTTACATCTAACCAATCCTTAAGAAGTTTAGCCACCCATGGCCATTACAGAATCAAAGAGTGAAAAGAAGAAATTACAAAGCAAAGGATGAAGAAATGGAGTTGATCTTCGTTCCCAAAGGATCCAGCTTCCAAGTCTCTGTTCTTCCTTCTTCACAAGCTTTTCCCCTCTTTTTCTCTGTTAAAATTCGTGCTCTGTATTATCTGTTTTTCCCTTTTATATTGGCTTCAAAACAAGACCAAAAAGTAACTTTTATTTCCACAGCTGCAGCTGCATATCCACGGCTATAGCTGTGGAGAGTCCTTCAGGGTGAAGAAACCTCCAAGGCTGCAGCTGTGGGTTCACAGCTATAGCTGTGACAACTCCTTCAATCTTAAGGAACTTCCAACGCTCAAGCGGTGAAGCCACAGCTATGGCTGTGAGTCTCTGGAGTTTTTATTGGGTCCTGGGTGCTTCCACGGCTTTAGCTGTGAGTCCACAGCTTTAGCTTCAACTCTTTGGAGCTTCAAAGTACATTTCAGATTTCCACAGCTATAGCTGCAGATCCACAGCTATAGCTCCAACTTTCTGGACCTCTATATTCTTCCCAGACTTCCACAGCTCGAGCTCCAGATCCACAGCTATGGCTGTGGATCTCTGCCTAGCCAAAAATCCTGCAAAAATTGAGGAAATTCCTTAAGATTGCTACTACTCCTCTACTCTTACAGTATAACTTAATTCTATAGATTAAAGGGGTGAAATAACATATATATATCTACAATTATACAAAAAGATTTCCAAAAGTTGAGTGCGAAACATACAAAAAAAGACACTCAACAGTTATCATACATTCTAATTAAGAGATCTCTTATAATACAGGTGAACAACAATGTCTTGATTACCATGCCCAAAGTCATTTCCCCATGCTTGACGTTAATGAAGCAAAAAGCCTCTAGATCATTCACGCCCAACGCCAATCCTGCTGCACTTAGCGTTATCTAGGCAAAGAGCCTTTGCTTTACACATTCTCGATGCTACACAAGTTGCGTACAGTGTCATCAAGGCAAGAAGCCACTAACTTGCTTATGTTTGGCGTCAGCCATCTTATGCTTAACGTCATCAAGTCAAAGAGTTCCTAGGGTAATCATGTCTAACACCCCTTAATCCACGTTTGGCATAATCAAGTTAGAGAGCTTCTATCTGACTCATATTTGACCCTATACCTATCCCGAGCTCGGCGTTAGTGAGATAAAGAGCCTTTGATCTACATCATATACAACGCCATGAAGTTGCACTCGACTTGGAGGTGATTTCTACACTTGGTATAATTGTGATCTTGCCCCAACCACATAAAATTAAACTCAGTCCCAAACCAACATGCAACTTACAAAAATACATGTATGCATCACCAACAACTCAAATTCGCCAAGAAGAGTAATATGCAACCACAAAATGTTACAATCCATTAATTTTCTTCTCATTCTATTCAATAACAACAAACACCAACATCTCATTTTTACTTTTCAAATTCAACAATCAAAGTTATCAATGAGCAAAAACAATTAAAAATTAGAACATACAACTCAACAAATTTACTTTATAAACTTTCCTTACCTCAAATCACTAAAAAAGAGGAAGGAAGATGAATGACAAAGAATGCTACTTCAAGCCCTCGCTGAACCACGATTTCGACTCTTGATCCTCAACACTCAGATACAAATCTTGAATCTAATACCACCACTCAATTATAGGGAAGGATTTAAGTGCTCATGTGGAATTAAAAGAAGAAAGGAATTTCTCTTTTTTAAGAGTGAATTTAATATGAAGTTTAAGTCTTAAGAAAATCTTATATCCATTTTTCTAAACTTTGTCAACTATAACTTCAACTCAAAATAGCTCTTAAACAAGTAAATTTGATCATAAGAACTCTTCACTCCTTAGAGTTTTAAAGCAATAAAACAATAATTTACACAAATCATTTACTTAAAGAAAAATTAAATAAACAACAATATAATTCACAGTGTTGTAGATGGATCCATAAAAATAAATGTATAAATTGAATCCAGTCTATTAGTTATTTTTATTGTAATGAATTGATTAGATGAATTTACTTTTTGATAAATCAAATGAATAATGAATAAATAAGTTCAAATGTCATTCTTAGTTATCTTTGTTTTTTTTTAAAATCATTTTATTTTTAAATCCTTGAATAATAATATAAATATAACAATTATTCTTTTCTACTTATTTTAGTAATTATATTCTTTTTGTTTTCTACAAACATGTTATCAAAACTCTCACAACTCACATAAGTTAATATTACATGAAACCATTCAAATCTGCCTACAGTTGTTAACTCACTACTATTTAATTATAATTATTTTTTATTTTAAAATAAAATTCCCAGAAACACGAAATATCTCTTTTGCACGATATAAAAAATCTAAATGGAATTTAAACCATATATAAAGTTATAGCAACCATTGCAACATGATCAATGACCAGCCATGCATTTCTTGACACACAATATTTGGACTTATTCTTTAGTGCACTCATCAGATATATAATATTCCACCTACTGAAGCAAGCCATATATATACTAACACAAGCACAATACCAAAACACATTTATTAGAAAACCATATATAATAATCACTCGGTTTATTTATGCCTTTGAACAAATAAATAATATATATTGCCAAAAAAGCCACCAATAAATCCATAAAAAAATGGACACTATTATATACATCTCAATATCAATCATCACATATCCTGATCGGTATCTTCCACCGGAGTTGTTGTACGGCCCCTCCGTCTAGATTGCCGGCGGTGGCTGCCGCCAAATCTCAACCGTCCGGTCTCCTTAAACCTTTGTTTCTCCGAAGGCACAATAACACATTCGGGTGGTGGCACGGTGTATCTTAACGTATCATAGCAATATGAGTAGTACATGTAACGCTGGCGGAACCGTCGCATGGCGAGGCGGCGCAAGGGGGTCACGGTGGCGTAGTCTTGCGCTTCGAGGTCGGCGTGTTGGCCGGAGCAAGCCTCGTCGCCGGAGATCTCTTGGATGGGATCGGCGGAGCAACCCTTTAGGACTAGGTCCTTAAATTCGGTCACAAAAGGTGCATACTTATAGTTAACTTTGTATTTTCCACCGGATGTGGCCCAATTCGAGGCATCCCATATGGTAGCATACAATGACATTGGCTTGGATGGGTAGTCACCTCCCATTTCCTCACTTCGTAATATTTCTCTAATTGGAACTTCATCAATGTAAAATCTGCAATAATTCAAACATAGTGATGATCAATTGACATAATTAGACATAGCTATGATGAGATTAAAAAAGTAAAGAAAAGGGTAGGTAGATACTAGTTTATTAGCAGAAAGTATATATTCTTCCGTGAAATAAAAAAGAATTGCCAGCCACATTAGTGTTCAATTAGGTGGAATTATGGGGACGGGGTTTGGCAAATGGTATAGGAATCTATGAGCTTGCTTTAGTTCGGTAATCTAACACCAAAATAAGGACATGTATTGCACAGATTAAAAAAATAATGATCACATGTTTCATTATAGTGAATGAACTAATTCTTCGCCATCCAAGTTTTACTTACACGCCATCGGATTTGGACCAACAGCAATACCCTTCCATGGTTTACAATTTTAAAGAGGACGAGATTTTTCTATGGGAGATATTTCAGTAAAATTCTAGAAGGGCAAGATTGATAAATTATAATTATTATGTAGAAAGAAATTAATTAGGAAAATAAATGCATTTTTGCCCACCCCACAAAATAGCTAGATAGGCTTGGGAGAATCAATTCGAAGGTTTGGCAACCCCATTATAACGAGAAGGACCGTGATGGATACGTATGACTTAAAACAAAAGAGTTGTATCACAATTATTAAAAAATACACGTAAAGTATAAGGATAAGCACAAATTTAAGGGAGGAAAACTAGTCGATATTTGTTTAATTTATCATCATGACCATGTATATAGAAAATAAAAGGAAGCAAATGAAACAAAATTGAAGTTGGCGATGATTGTGGGCCTATCATACATACCTGTCTAAAACGGGGAAAATAATCATTCAATTCGAAAGCCACACTAGCCTCTAAAACCATCCTTTTAGTAATGAAAACTATATGCTTTCGATCCTATTGCTAGCTCACACAACCAAACCAAACCCAACGCATCATCCCACACGCAAACACTTTCCTCCCTCACGCTAAGTCAAACAAAACCAATTATTCAATGGCACAAACACGCCACGTTAAAGCTAAATCCGAACCCATGCCACAAAAGTGTTCCAACCACAAGCACAAAGATACCAACGCATAAACACATGAACATAAACCCTTACATGACGTTCGTGGCAGTCCAAAGGATGCTGTATCTGTGGTATTCTTTGGTTGGATCAAACCACAAACGGTAACGTTCCTCACGCCCACGGTTCGTGCTTCCGTTGCCGTACAAGTTCGTCTGAAACCGCCACGGTTTTCCGGCGATGTTTCCTAAGAATTCAAAGTCCAACTCGTCGTGGGCCTTCTCGAATACGTCACCGTTTGATGTCTGTACCAAAGTAAAATATTCAACCATATATATATCCGATTAATAACCATTAAACTCGCCAAATTATTACATACGTAATTCATTAGGATCCTCACTAGATATACATAATACCGTTATGTATTTCAATTTTTAATTAAAAAAAATTTCAACAGCGTTTTGCATGATGGACTTCGCTATGTAATAATTTCTCACGAAACTAATCACTGGTAGTTCGCCGTTTGAACAGTTCTTTAATTTTTCTTTTTTCTCTTTGAAAATTTAACGTAAATTAAATGGCGTACGCCGACCTTGAATCTGTATTTGACTTCGCTACAAGTTCGGTTTTTTCTTCAGCAAATTAAAGGGAAGTTTGACTAATATTTAGTAAAAACGCGTGTTTTACTGATCATACAAAATTAAAAAAGATAAAGAAACTAGGGAAGGGAGGAAAGAATTCCATGAAGGAGAAGAAGCATAAAATATAAATCCAGAATTCCTTCAGAAAATCATTACTATACAAAAATAAAGAATTAATGACAAAATTTAGTGACTATTTATACACTTACTCAAAATTATCACTTTCGTCACTAATTTTAAATAAATATTGATGTCTAGCAAAATTTTCTTCTCAATTTGGTTCAAGAAAAGAATATATTTTGTTTACTTACATAAAAGGCGACGCAAATTCCAGCAGTATAATTGGATGGCAACTTGATTTTGGCGCTGAAGAATCCATACTGGTACATACTAGAGGAAATGAAACCAGAACCTATAATATTTATCAGATAATTAAAAATGTTTAGAACACACAAAAAAGAAATTAGAAACTTAATTAAGTTTTGATCACACGTATGATTTTGCATATGAAGACGTGTTCGTGAATTTACCAGTGAAGCGATCGAGGAGGAGTTTAACGGCGTTGCCATCGTCGGAGCGAACAACGTTGGCATCTCCGAAGAGCGGAGAATAGGCGTCGTTGAAGGGTATGGTGGCGAGGTCGAAGGCTGCGTTGGCGAAAGTGAAGAGAAGAAGAGAAAGTGGTAATAGAATAGAAAGTTTGGGTAGTGTCCCAAAACAACGTAAGCTATGATCCATAATAATTTTAATTTTGTTTTTCTGTTTCTCTGATGTTGTTCTCTTTCTCTCTCCACCCCTTAGTTTTCGCTCTTCACTCTATTTATACAATCAAAATCATGATATAGATTGCTCTTTGATTTCCTTATTCTAATTTTCCTCTTTTCTGTACACAATTGCCCCTGCTTGGCTGAGGATTTTACCAACCATGTCACCTTCTATATGTTGCATTTTCATTGCTCCACGGGACGGATATATAAAGAAACATAGTTTAATACATTTAATTTTTATTATTTTATATAAAATATACTGAAACATTTTTAATCTCATTAATTATTGACAGTGTTAATATTTTATATTGTGTTTAAGTTTTATGTTAATATTTTTTTCTTGCTTTTGGGAGAATATGTGCTTATCGTTAAGTTGATGCTATCATAATTGGAATGAAGAAATATTTTATTTTTTGGGGGTAAGATGCTATTTCGAGAACCTGTTAAACTATGTTGGAGTGGCGACGAATTTGTGATAAGGATTAATAATTTGTAGGGTTGAATGTAGCATAATAGAGGAAGGTTTCATTAACGAGTTGAATTAAGCAATACAATTATCTAGCATAATGATGCCCCCAATACGAATTTAATTAATTTTTTTAACAGACTAAGCATTTCCACCTTATGCATGAGGTGTTGTTGGTTACATTTCACATCTTTGATGCCACTATATTTGACAAAATAATTGAACCCCGGGCCATAACAACTATGAAAAGAAAAAACCCTAGTGGAGGGTGATGGCTTATGACCTCCACACGTGTACTACAAAGTGGCGAAGCGTCTTATCTAGCTTAATTTTAAAGATTATTGTATCTTTCCTCCTAAGTTTTCTAAAATAATCATGCATGGTTCTGGTCAAACTGCAAAATGCTCAGTGATTGGTTTTCTAGGTTTTATATCCACGTGGATACTTAATGCTAAAAAGATTATATTACTAAAAGTTTATTCCTCCCCCTTAAGGCTAACAAATGATTTTATTCAGGGTAAAAAATATTTAAAATGAAATAAAAATAACGAGTTATATTAAATTGGAATTCTCTAAAAAATTATGTGAAGTAAGAGAAAGCCATTGTTAAATCATTATTTATCACTACATAAAAAATTGCGCATAATTTGTAACTCATGTTTCACAATTATAAGGGGAAACATGTTACAAAACAAACATTATATGTTTAAATAACATGGGTATTTAATTTCCTTTGTGGATAGCATACTATGCGTTAGAATATGCCAAGCTTGTGACTTGTGAGATGAATATATTGCCAGCTCAGTCACAAAAGTGCGACCAAAGAGAAACAAGTTGGAGAATATGAAAAATGACAATTATTTGAGATTTTTTTATATGATAAAATTAGAGGTATTTTGTTTAGATTAAGGAAGCTAATTAATTAGGGTAAAACATGTGACATTAGGGGGGCATTATCGTCCTCTGAAAAGGTGAAGCCAAGCTAACAGCGTGGATTGAACAGAAGCCGTGTGTGAACACGGTTCGTAATTTGAGGGAAAAGGTGTGGCCATTTTGGTAAAATACTTTCCTTGTTTTTCTTTTTTTGGTTACAGTTTCCTTGTTTAAAATGAAAAAAATACACGTCCGAATAAATTTGAGTGCTACAAACAGAGAGAAAATCAAGTAAATGTGGAATAAAATGATATATATTATCACTCAATTTTAAATAAGTGATAAGAGGTGATAAAAAAGAAAATAAATAAATAAATAACCAACAGAAATGGAGAAATATAAATATATAGATATAATTACTCAACCATATTCCTTTGTTTTGTTGACTGATTTCTGCTGTTGAAAAAAACATTAATCCCAACTATTTTTCATGTCAATCACGAATCAAATGAAGGGAAAGAACTATTCACAGAAGGGGCTGGGGATAGAAATACAACGCTCTGCAAACTGTACCCTTGGATTTGGTTAAAGAGATCAAATTCATAGTATGACGTGTTTGACAAATTATGAACAATTATTTTTCACACCTTTTGCTATATATATGATAACAAAAATTTTGCACTAATTGATTTTTTTACATAAATATTTAAGAAATATCTTAATATTTTACTATCATGCATGGCATGCAAATCGAAAAATCCTTATGTTCATTTAATTTAATTTTTCCAATTGATTAAATTTCCATTGAATTCGTGCAAAAATCAGATAACAAGAAGAGGGGAAAAAAAGAGAGAAGAGAATTATAGATATAGGTTATTATGTTTAGATAATTTTTTCAATAACTATTTATAAGAGAAAGAAATTAAAAAGGTGAAATGAATTGTACTTCTTTGATATATTAAAATGTTGGAATTTTATATTTCAATAAGTAACATATATATCTAATAATATTATAAAAATAATTATATTAATTATTTATTATTAGTGAACTTTATTTTATATTGTTAAATTAAGTGAGTTCTTTAGATTACTAGATACGATTATATGAATTAAAATTAACAAATGTCATTGAATCGATTGTTTATTAGAAGATAATGAGATTTCTTTTAGATTAACACACTGTAAAAAAAGTTATGGTTCTCAATGTATTGAATCGTAGAAAGTTCATACTTCTTTCTCTCTATATCGAAAAAGAGTCCCACCAAAAAAATTCTAAAGATTCAATAAGAATTATAGAGTTATTGACTCTCTAATTGTGTTCACAATCAAATGTTATAAGAATGTCGTAATATATGTTGAAAAGTACTTAGATCAAGAACAAATAATGAGTTACATATTTATCTTATATATATATAGAAGATATAGATATAGATATATAATCTTTTATTGTTTTTGTACAAAAAATTAAAATTAAAATTTTAAATATAAAATCAATAACTTATACATTTCTTTTGTTACAAAATTCACTACTAGAATTTCTCTTATTACATGCAACTTTTCCTGCGAATTTTTTATAAAAATTTGCAGGAAACGTTGTTCCTGCAAATTTTTCTGCGAAATTTTATTCGCAGGTAATACCTTCGTGGATAATATATTTTTGCGAATTTTAAAATTCGCAGGAAATTTTCCTGCGAAATTTCCTGCGAAAAAAATTCGCAGGAAAGTTTCCTGCAAAAAAAAATTTGCAGGAAATTTTCCTGCAAAAAAAAATTCGCAGGAAAATTCGCAAGAAACTTTCCTGCGAATTTTTTCGCAAGAAATTCTGCAGGAATATTTTTTACGAAAAAATTAAAAAAAATTATTATAAATTCTATATTTTAAGAATTCATAATCTTTTATTTTCATGCCTCATACATAATCTTTTAAATTCTAAGATTGTAGATTACAAGTCTAACACTCAACCATACAATTCTACTTGTAAGGTAAGTGTTATTCCAACTTATATACTCTTTAATTGTTTTATTTTCAATCGATGTGGGACTTGAAGATTTTTTAAAATATTAATCTTATTAATTTAAATATATTTTTTATTTTTCCTGCGAATTAAAATTTGCAAGAAAATCCGCAGGAAAAGTTACCTGCAAAATTTTTCTACCATTTAGTAAACATTACTTGCAAATTTATTTTTGCAAGAAAATATGCAAGAAACAAAATAAAATTCTTACAATATTTTCTGCAAATTTTTACCATGAAATTTTTTTTTCCATAATTATTAAAATTGTAGCAAAATTTGTAAGAAATATCTGTAAATTATTTTTTGTAGGAAAATTCGCAAAAAATTTCTGCGAATATTTTTTTGTAGGAAAATTCGCAAAAAATTTTCTGCAAATATTTTTTTGCAGAAAAATTCGCAAAAATTTTCTGCAAATATTTTTTTGCAAGAAAATTTGCAAAAAAATAACACTTTTCTAGTAGTGATTAATTTATAATTAATTAAAATAATATTTTAAAGAAGTTAAATAATAAAACTTTTGGAAAAATTAAAATACATCATAAGTTTATTTTAGTTTATGAAATAAGTTTACTTTATTTTACTTTCTTTTCTTTTCGTATGTGTATATATTAAAAATTTATTGAAACATAATCACAACATTTTACTTTACTAATATGCTCATTTTGATGTATAAAAAATCCATGTGTGAGTTGAGAGGGTCTTTGGTAAAGGTTTAGCTTACCATGAAGGGAAGCAATATATAAGGTCTCTATTGATAATTAAGTCTCATAAACTCATTTTTCTAGATTCTAGAGAGAAGTAACCTGAGCTCATGAATTTTCTTTTTCTCCCAAAACCTTCTCTTTATTGGAGAATCCTTTCCTCAGGATTGCTAATTTATTTGTATGATGTGATTCAGGTTCTGAGAGTTTTGAATCTTAGTTTAAAGTTGTATGGGGTCATTTGGAGAACTCGAGTTCCTTTTTCTTTTTCTCTTCCTCAATTCTTCTTTTGTGTGATTGGATTTGAGGTAAGGGAAGTTAAAAAGTGTTTTAATGAATGGTTTAGTTGAATGCATTGAATGGATTGTGAATTGCATGCGTTTACGTGTTGAAACTGCATGAATTTGGGGTCGATTATGTTGAACTTGAGTGGTTGGGTACATGGAGGTGGGATTGGTGATTTTTTTTACTTGTGGTTGCATGTGTTCTTTTAGCTTGATTTTGAGTCTTATATGATGTGTGTGAGTTGTTGGATGCAATGCATATGTTCGATTTCTTGTATTTTAGTTGAATAAGGCAATTTTTGTGATATGCACTATGCAAAAATCACAATCATGTTGAGTGCGCCTTCATGGCGTTGGGCATAGTTTCAACTAGGAATCTCTATCTCGTTCACGCTAAGCGTAGGATCAATGACATTGGATGTAAGGAGAGAGACTCGTCTTGGATTGGGATGGCATCAGGTGTGGTTTGGATGACATTGAGTGTGTGAACATAGAAAATTCTCTAACTTGGTGAAACTAGGCCCTAGTTTGGTGACACCAAGCATGATCAAGGTAGAGCTATCCTTGTTTGGATGATATCGAACACCACTAAGGTGATGTCGAACATGAGTCAAGTAGAATCTCTCCACTTGATATGAGGTCGGGCATGTGTTTGGTCATGCTAGGCATGAGCTCCCAAGGGGTCTCCACCTTAGTCACGCCAAGTGC